CTGTCCTTCTTCAATTCCTTTCGTCTCCATCGTTGGTGTTGCCAGCTAGCGGGAGTGACAACTTGCATCAGCATAGAATCTCAAGCTGCAGTGCAGTCTGAGTTCGAAATCGGCTAGATTCGTGCACAACCATGGAACGCTGGTCCATGAAGATAAGCTAGGCAAACCCTTTTCCATTCCTTTCTTTCTTCCCTCGCTCCTCTGGCCGGCAGGACTTCATTATTCTGTTGCGAATGATTTCGTGGCTGGAATATTTTGGCCGAGGCCAGGAGTGGCAAGTCCTTGACTTCTTTGCCGGAAGAGGAAGGGTGACTAAATGGGCGAAACGAAAGGGCCTTCGAGTCGCTACCTACGACATTAGGTACCACCAGCCTTCGTCGAAGCGTAGCACCCATTCTGGGAAACGACAGAGATCAGGGATGGACATTCTGAGCGAAGCAGGATTCGCGCAGCCCGCCTTCACATCTAGAAGAGTCTTTGAGTAATCGTCATTAGATCGGTTTCTGATTGGAAGAAACCCTGAACGCGGACCCGAAACTGCCTGCCATGCCGAGGTTGGCCTGCATGCTCATCCTGCAGTCAGGCTATTCATCGACATTGATCACTATGGGAACAGTATGTTCCACATGGGTATGGAGCAACAGTGGGACCTCAAAACGGAGTCCAGTGACTCCGTCCGGTTGCAGTGAGAATCAATCGGTGTTGCTTGCTAACTGCATGGTAGCTCGGAGCCCCAGCATGCAATGGTTCCCAAACGTGGTTCCCAGTAGATATACTTAACCGATCTGGTTCATGCCTAGGACGAGCCTCCTGAAGATGCTCATCGCATGTATGAAATGTATCTACGTGCTCGAGCAGCCACGCAGCAGCTTCATGCTGGACTACCACAGATTACGCGAGACATTGATCCTTATGAGACAACGACTACAAATGAAGGAGCTTGGTTTTTGATCTAGCGGGTTGTGCAGTTTCTAGTTTGGAAAAATATATGGTTGCTCCTGCTTGAACAATCTGAGGCATACCTGGTTACATTTTGGATGCGAAAGTTCGGGCATGCGTCCTTAAAGCGATCGCTGGTTCTCTCCAATAATCCGAAGATTGCAATGCTGGATAAAGGGCCTCTGACAAAACGGGAACGTCAAACGGCCCAGCCGGCTGCTGTATCATACTTCGATATCCATGGTCGCAAGTGTGTTCGTGGAGACAAGACCCTGAAGTGCAGCCAGCTTCGTGCCTAAATTTTCAAGACATGTGTCAGCACTACCTGAAAAGTTTGTTTGGGTCCCAGAATTCCCTGCATGCAGGGTCTACACCAACGCCTTCGCCAAAGCTTTGCTGAAGCTGGCTCCAGAACATCGAGAACCAGCCAAGGAGCCTGGTCAGGGGCTGGGTTCACATAGAAGAGACTATCTTGGTCTCCATATATATATATATATATATGTGTATGTGATATATATATATACACGCATTTAGTGTATACTTGCGTAAATACCAGGCACCCTATGTAGAAATCCTAAACCCCGAAATACTTTCAACCCCAAACTTTACATAATTCCGGCTGCCGGAGCGAGCCACTTATGGCGTCTGGGGTTTGGGATATATAGGGGGTATAGGCGGGTTTGATGACAATAGCTGTTGGTTATCGTGGGGCTTCTAGTTCGTTATGCCAGGTTTGTACTGCAGCATCTGTGTCATCGGTTTGTGCAATGGACGCTGTTAGCCTGGTAGCAGCAGGATTGTAAATTACCGCATGATGGCTGGGCGGGTTCTTTCGTGATTTCCCCGGCAGAATATATTACGTATGATTATGATATATTTAGTTCAAGTTGAGTTTCCCAGGCCCAAAATCACGGCTGCGATTCTGCCAAAACAAAGCCTTCCTGAGCAGAACTTGCTACGCGGTCACCATTTCTTTAAAACTCTATAGCTGCTGCAATTGAAGCCGCCTCTGTTTAGATTAAATAAAACCCAGTAATGTAAGCCTCCCATCCCAGTGGCAAGCAAAACCAGACCCAAACAATCTTCGCGAAGGCAGCCCTCCAAAAAACCTTGCTGAGCAGCAAATAAAAGCGCCCTTCTGGGGCACTCTTGTTTCCCAGTTCCAAAACAAACAGGATGGGCTCATTAATAATTTATATATAGTATAGGGCTGTATATATATCAATAGGATATATATATATATATATGTAATGTTGTTTCTCGATTATTTATATGGTTTTGCTTGGGCTTAGGGAGTTACCTTAGATATATGCTAATTTAGGGTCACTGTTTATAAAAGGGCTAATTAGAGTTTATCAACTTGATTATCATAGCCGCATCCAAAATGCAATGCCCGAGCAATCCAATAGCACAGCTGATATATTTGTAAACCAGACTTAACACACCCCAGAACAGCTTTGTCCTGACCCACCTAGGCATATGTCCGAAACGCAGGCCCTCAAAAGGACCGAGCACTTTTGCACTAAATTCTTCCCTAAGATAGGAGAAAACCATCCTCACACCCCGCGGTACTCAAGACAAACCAATTCACACGCACCCAAGCTATCTTCCCTTGATCTGAGGAATGCAGCAACACAAGCCTTCGGCTGGCTTTGGAAGCCATGCCGTGGAGCGCCTGGGAAGATGCTGATTTGGCTCCTGTCATCAGATATGTGAGAGGCAGCAAAAGCCTTTTGATTCCTGGGGAGTGGCGGGGATTGGTCTGATGATCATATATGTTTCCAGTGCTGCTGTTACAATCGCAAATCCATGTTTTACGTTGTTACGCCACTGCACGGGTTTTACCGCGCGCGTTCTTTGTCGACCGAAGCGCGTTTATTCGCGGCCGAAACGCGCTTTTACCCGACCGGGGTTTTGGACCCCCCCAGAACATCTCCTGAAGCTACATGTCCTTTCTTATGATACATCCGATAGTGATCGTGCTTCCTGGTAGTGTCGGCAATTCATAATTCAAGAAGATCCGTCCTGCGAGCCACGTGGCAGGGATGCTTTCGCTAAAGTTTCGGGGTTCAGCTGTCCACTGTAGCGATACCCAGCTCTTGGACAAGCCGTATCTAGTTCGAATCCTGCACACTGAGTTCCAACCCACACCAGTCCCAATTATGCATCCTCCTGCTGCCAGCGTCCCTTGTTGTGGAACGCTGCATGGAACCCGTATAAAGCTAAGCCCTGTAGTTCCCCTAGACTGGTCGTTAATGAACTATTTACATCTTTTGTATATATATATATATATATATACACCCTAAACCACTCGAAACAAGTAAACCTTACATATATATATAATGCACATATACATATATATATATATATATATATATGTATATGTGCATTATATAACCCCTAGCATCTCGAATCCTTACATAAGAGCGAAAGAAGATGGCTCCTTCATCAGCAGGACCATGCCAATGAAGTCCCACATCTGGGTGTGGTTGATCAGTAACTTTTTGGATTCTGCAAAGGGGTTTCATTTGGAAGAGGCTTTGGGGTTTTATTTGTTGGAGGTTTACTTGCAGGTGAGAATTAGGGTGTTACTTAGGATATGTACAGGTAATTATATTACGCTTATCGATTATGTGGAGTTCATAGGGTTGCAGGGCAGGTTTTGGGGTAAAGCTAGGGTCTATGGTTTATAGTAACATGTGTGCATGTATGTATGTATGTATGTAGGAATGTATGTATGTCTGTGTGATTGATGAATACATGCAACTGAGGCACTTAATTGCATGTATTCATTCCTCGGATGTATGATACGTATGTATGTACCTATGCATGTCTGTCTGTATGCATGTATCTACGTATGTATGTATGCATTCGTGTGGCACACTCCAAGTTAGTTATGTCTAGTGCTCGTGGGTCTATGTTGTCTTGCATAGGAACGTGCATCCATCATATTATAAACAGACATGCGAACATTAGGTGTGTGTACCCTCTTACAGGCGCTTCTAGGATCCTGAAGCAGCATGATGAGTAGATTAGAAATCGTGCCAAACCAGCATCGCGCACGTCCTGAATAAGAGATCCTCTGATTAAACCCAACGCCAAACCCCCGTACAATAAGGTAATCTTGCGACCTGGGTTCACTGTGGGAAAACCCAACGGCAAACCCCCGTACAATAAGGTAACCCTGGGACCTGGGTTCACTGCTGGATCCGATAATTCTGAATTTAGCAGAAGCCTTGCCAAGACTTGACATAACCGTCCTGAAGTGTTCTGAAATATAGCTAGTTTCGGGTTTACTAGAGAGTTTGGAAGGGTTTAGGAAGAGACGAATCACAGTCCACGTGTGTCTGGCCAAATGCATGCCCAAATCCAACAGGGCGCTCACGCCACACCAGTCATGTGGCTCCGTTCGGTGTATAGTTTGATGAACCTGGCCACCAATTAGCAGTCTGCCACGTGGAGGCCCTCGACGGCACATAGTGTTGCCACTATAAAGTTCAATCGCTGCCGTTTGCGAATGCTTGAAAAGCAGCATGTCTCTGCTTGGCAGTGGCATGGCATAGCTGTCCCCAGTAGAGAGACTGCACCGTGTTCTTTGGGATGAATCAGGGAGGGCCTATGTCACTGTGAAAATAACCAACCGTACAGGTTCTGATTCGGGCCAACTAGAAACACTGCATCGGGAAATACCATATTGCCAATCATATTGCCGTAGGCTTGCTGAGGGATACCCTAGAATCTAGGTTTGTGCTTGTCCTAAGAATACTTAATAAATGTGTTTAGGCCAGGTGTCTATCTTCTGAATCCTATTGAAGCTGACACGAACCTTAGCGCAGGGGTACTTGAAAGACTCAGATCCCCGATAAAACCCTAAACCCGATATTGAAACAGCAGGACTGTAGCCATAGGAGCCCCATCTGATTGTGTCGGGTGTTGGTTAGTGTAGTGTGATCTTATGATACCTTATGTACACACCCATGCATCCTTTCTAGACAGATACAATGGGAGATCCGTAGCTCATTTTGATCTCTTCGTGAGTGATCGACCGCCAAAGGCGGTCCATGTCTAGGACCTGGTCTACCTCTACTTTGGTACAAGGCATGGAGGCAGCGACGATGCCTAATCTTCTTGATGACAGCCTGCCTACAGATCCCGAGGAACTGGCGAGAGCATTCGAGGTTCCTTGTTTATGTCAATTTCTAGCTGTTTCTAGGCCCCCCGGAGTAGCCTATCTAGAACCTTATACATGCTCCTTACTAGCAACCTAGGAACCCTAAAAGCCGGGACTTTACTTCCTGAGACCAGCCTAGTCTAAGCAAGGACCTTGAGCGTATGGAGGCCGAGCTTGGGGATTCGGAGCTTGGGGATGCGGACGGTGATGCCCCGGGCGAGATGCTAGAAGAAACCCAACAAGAGACCACGCCTGAGCCGAGCGCCGCGGTGGAGCCGAAGGATGCGCCGGAGGAGCCTGGGCCGATCAAGGCCGAGAGTGTGACTCCTGAAAGGACCCTTGTGAACACTGCGGTTCCGGATGGGCACAGTCATGATGTGAAGATTCCGGATGTGCGTGACGACAAGGCCCCGCGGCCCGAGGTCGGTGTGCATACCTTAAGCGCCGAGGCCATCCGGTCTCGGGCGAGACGGATTTTTACCCCAAGGACGAACGGCACGTTCAAGGTTTCGGAGACCGTGTTTAAGGAGTGGAACCGGCGTGGCTCCGTGGAAAGGAAGAACTTAGAGATGATCTTTGCCCAATGTGGGTACTCCCCCGTGCCTAGGCTAAATCATAGTCGTGTCTCATGCCGCACTGATGTATGATGCACACACACACACACACCTAATACAACATGCTGCCCAGGAGGTCTTTATCGCGGAGGTGGAAGTTCTGAGAGAACAGCTCTACGAGAAGGACTTGACCATCGAAGGAGAGTTTCTTTCCGAAGCTGCCATGGAGGAAGAGGGCATAAGCGAGTCAACCATCTTAATATTTTACCGCTGGCCTTGTAGCAAGCATGTTTCAGGCTTCGTTTGTCTAGTCAAAATGCAGTTCTATCTTTAAGCTGAGGAAGAGACGGGAGGCCATCAAAGCACATTGCCGCACGAATCCGAGGCAGCTCATGAGGACGGTTCTACCAAGTGTGTGTGTGTGTGTGACTTTAGCAAAAGTTGCAGCCAACTCTAGTTTCATGCATAGCATCGCAGGAAAGACACCTACGAGAAGCTGACACTCTACTGGGTGGAGCGGGCGATCAAGGGCTACATCAAGCAGCTGGTTGGCAAAGCATACGGTTTAGAACAGAGGATATTATAGGTTTAACAAGATTTCTGAGGTTCATGATAGCTAGACATAATATTGGTGTAATCTAGGTATAGTTTAGTAACTGGGAATACGCTTAGGTGTACCTCCTCCCCTCAGGTAAGCCCACCCATTTGCTAAGGACGGGGCAACTTCGTAGGATGGGCTCGATGTAGATCTCGCCTCACCGCAAACCCACGTCTATATCCCAAATGGATGGACCTGTATGTGTTCTAAATGCATTATAAATCTCTTGACAACTAGGCAATCGTGTATGCTAGCTGGATTCGGCTAGTGGCTCCTCAGACACAACTACTGTCATCACGATTCGCTTTCAGGCGTCCATAATAATCCACAGTATTTTGTCGTATTCCGCTCATTGTATATACCACTACCTAGTTTGTATTCCTGGCACAAACATCATCCCTGTTATCAACCATATGTGTGTGTGCAACATAACGACCCTCCAAAAAGAGTTCGATTCCCCAGCGCGACCCATCGGAAGACACGTCCCTCGGACCCGGCACCTGCTGCATCACAACCCCAATCGGGCAGCCAGAAATACTGTAAAAGGTATAGCAACTTTATTAATTAGAGGACATTCTTCAAGACGTAAGTAACCCTGTACAGAAGCATACACCTAGGCATCATACATATACCTACATGCATATAACAAACTTGAATTAAACTAGATCCCCGTGTTATTGCCACAGTCTGAAACCACAGAAATTCAGCAGCTCTCGACAACCCTGCCAGCTTTTAGCACCTGGCCCCTTTGTGTGTAATACTCCCCTCCTGCTTTCCTATATAATCCTAGCCACTGCATGTGTGGAATCTAAAACCAATATTAACCCTCAAACACGCACTGGCTCGTACACCAGGCAGAACTCGAAGCAGCTGATTCGGAAAAAGATGACGTGGGAGGAGGAGAATGGAGCCCAGGGCTTCATGAACGATATGCCAGGAGGCGGCCCCAGCCTTCCGGATGCTGGTCTCGCACGAGGCACAACCTAGGCTTGCTTAAGTTGGTTCTTCTGCCCCGTTGAATCTACTGCATGAGGCTCTACGAGCTCATCTTTGGCCCGAACAAACTCCGCGGTTCAGGATGCTGATCAGGAGGAGGGGGAGGGTGAGGAGGTGATAAATCTAGACGAGGAAGAGGCGGAGGATGCTGCCAACAAGGCCCGCAAAAAGCTAGGCTTGCCCGAGTACAATCCCGACGAAGCCCTCATGAGCTCCATTCCGAAGATTTTGTTTCTTGGATTCCATTGGATCCACTTACACGTCCACATATTGTAGCCACGCAGCAGCTCCCTCTACCCCACTGCAACCAAACCAGGAACTCCATGGGCAAGCGCCTCAAGAAGGTTGATGAGTTGGCAACAAAGTTTTCGGCATCAGGCATGAGTGCCCTTCAGAACCAGCCGCTTGTTGGTATCATCAGAACGACAATAATTTTGCTCAATGTACACGGGTCAGTGCAGTATGAGAATGAAAGCAATCCTAGGTTCAGGGACGGCATCTTGGAGCTGCTTGAGAAGATGAAAGATGCCAATACCAAGCTTTCCGATATCTACTGTGCATCTGTGGTTGTTGGCTTCACGAAGAAGTGCCTGGCTTCGAATGGACAGGGTGACCTTCCAAGCTAGCTTGGGCTTTATCTAAGACCGGTGAATTTATCTTCAGGTTAGACTTTGTTCAGGTTGGGGGAGGATTCGCTTCAGGTTGGCTTTCTATGCCGCGTTATTTTTTCATGGGCTGGTTAGCCGGCTCTAACTGTTAACGTGGTATAATCGTAGCCATCCAGAAGCAGCGCATTGGCCTTGGGAGTTTGGGTTTAGGGTTTATATATTCCACGCAGGTTAATTTATCTTAGACACCCCTGATCGAAAGGCATAGCCGAAGAACAGTCGATCTTCATAATAGGCACTCAGCTGTTCCCGCCTTAAGTAGCTTGTGAATCCCAAACAGCAAACAATCCTGGAGCCGCGCTAGCCTTCCGTCCTGCTAAGCAACCACAAAAATGAGGAGCACTCCTTCGGCACCACCAACCTAGATTAAACTAGCTTGATGCTGTGGTACTACCACCAGTACTACTACTCCTACTCCAACTCCTACTACTACTACTGCTGCTGCTGCTGCTGCTACTACTACTACTACTACTACCACTACTACCACTACCACTACTACTACTACTACTGCTACTACTACTACTACTATTACTACTACGTACTACTCCTATTACTAACCACTACCACTGGCACTGCTGCTGCGACTACCATGACAACTACCACCACTTCAACAACTACCGGTGTCAAGTACTAGTACTGGTACTAGTACTAGTGCTGCTGCTACTCCCTATACTGCTATATAACGACTACTCCCACTACAGCTACCACTACTGCTGCTGCCGCTGCAGCTACTGCTATTGCGAGTGCTACTATACTACTGCCACTGCCGCTGCCACGGCTACTGCCACTGATACTGCTGCTACCGCTATCAAGCTAGGTACTAGCCAGCTTTGTTTTATAATCTGTACTGCTCAAGAAACCATGCCAGTATCTCTGATTACTCGCTACACATCCCGAGCTGGCTACAATGGAAGTCATGTGTACTTAGAGTATCGATCACATATTGATTCCGCTGCAGGGTTCTGCAGACTGTTCACTACCCAGTAGTATGGGTCGTCTTGTAAATGTGGGGCCGCAAGATCATATGGAGCGCACCATTAAGGCATGCATGCAAGTATATTGAATTGACAAGCATGAGGGCTGATTGAGTCGACTTAGCCACGTGCATCTTTGTAACTGGCTATTCGTGCCCTGACCTCTTCTAGATATAGCTCACTACCACGCTTCCAAATAGAGCGAACACTGCAAGAAGCATGAAACCCTATACCCCACAACGCACAAATCGAGAAGTGTACCCCAGAATAAGACGAGTGTACGTGATTTGTGCAGGCAGTGCTGTCACAAATTTCACTATGTCCAACATGGCTCCAGAAACACCCATCGGCTTGATGTGCGGTCGTGTGATCTGTTGGAAAACCACGAGACGTTCTTACGGCATGCGGTATTCGCTAGGCCCTGTACTGGCAGTAACTTTAGCATACAAGCATCAGCCATTCACATGTTCTTAATTATCGTTGGTCCGGAAACCCAGGGCAGGAAATACTGGAACAAGTGCTAGCACTAGTGCTTCACCGAAGTCCAATTAATTACACAGGGTGCATATCCTGACATGGATAGAATCTCCGTCGAAGCGACATCTCGTTTGAAGACCGGCTAGGGCATGGCATACCTTAGTCCACCGCACGCGATCAATCAGTCCTAGAAGTTATCCTACGGAGTGTTCTGTCTACTGCTCGTGTGCATCTGCACCATGTGTATACGCAACAAGGGTACCGGCCTAGCTTGGGTGGCATGGCACACGCGAGGATCCCAACCCAACGCCATACGTTCTAGGGTGGACATTGGGTTCACGGTAGCAACCCTGCATCGCGCACCTCCATGCACGCGCACCTTAATGCACTCGCGTGTGTCAGCCGGTCTACACGGGACTCTATATATAGGGTTCTATATACGAGGGTAATTATTCGTTTAATATATTGGGGCTCCAGACCGGGGTGGGGCTCCAGGCCGAATGACAGGTAAAGACAAAGGATAGCTAGGTGAGGGCGATTTTACAGGTTGCTTAAGTGTAGCGCTAGGCTTATATAGGTCCCGCTAGCCCTAGCTAGCCCTAGCTTCTCTAGTAGTTCCCTTCTTCGTTTCTCAAGATAGGATCCAAATTCAAATCCAACAGGCCGGATGCCCATAGTCCGAAGCAGATCCCCCCGGGTACCCACGCAAACCATGAACCTCGAACGTGCTCTTTATAATCCCGAGTTACGTAGGCATGTATCTAGGACCTTTTGCTAGTGATTCTAGTCAAGCCTGATAAACATTTGACCCCATGCATTATATTAGGTATAATAATAAACCCCACCAAGTTCATCGAGGTCCCAAGAGGAAGCCAAGACGGCGATCGCACTGAACATCGATCTGTCGCTGTCCCAGCACGCGGTCGCAGCGCATGCCTGGCTCAATATCAATGTTAAGTTGACGGGTGTCCCGTGCAGGGCTACGCAGTCTCTGGGAATGGAGACAAGGAGCAGGCTGTGGCAACAACAGTGCTTCAGTCACACAAACACGCATGCAAAGTTCTGCTGTATATATGTTTGAACTGCATGGCAGGCCCTTCGTGCCAAAGGGCCCGGCTCCGAAAGCAAGACCCAAGAGGGCCTGCACCAAGCCGGCGGTGAAGCGCAAGGCTGAAGCTCCTAAAGGAGCTGCCAAGAAGCCAAGGAAGTAGACTGACAGGACTTAGATCCGAGGTTCCAAGATCTTTTCACGCTTGCAAGCGCCAGCGTGCATAGTCTAGGAAGTGTCGCATGGCATTTGTAATTTCGCTTGATCTAGCATATGCACATGTATACCGTGGAAAACATCGAGTGTAATGCTAGACACGTGCCGCGTGACATCTTTATAGAGCTCTGCTGCAATCTGCCGGAGCTTCAATTCGAGTTGGGGGCATCTTTCGTGCGGCTCTGAGGGAAACAGCAGTTGCGCAGGAAACTCCGCTAATTTGCAAAACTATAAATAGGATCAGTTATATATGTTTCCCATGCCAGGTT